CCCCAATCCCTGACACCGCAACGCGCCTCTCGGGGAGTCTTGTTTCGTGAAGGGGATGGTGCGTTGGGCTTTGTGTTGGCAGGAGGACTCTGGTCCAAGCCCACAGCAAGGTCCCTCCTTTGGCACGGTTGCGGGGACACGGGAGGGACCCGGCTCTGCTCGCCCCGCGCTGGCTGCGTGCGAGGGGACGGGGAAAGAAGGAAAAGCAGCTCAGGTTTAAGGTTGTTGCAGCTTGAGGGCAACAGCAGCTGGGCTGCGGTGGGAGAGCAGAGGCAGGAATGGGGCCTTGGTTTCCAGAGGCAGTGGGGAATGGTTTCCGCAGGCAGCGCCGCACGCTCTTGGCCGGGAAGCGGGAACGGTTGCTGCAGCCAAGCCCTTCGGTTGCCCGTCCCCGTGCCCTCACCCGCTCTCCCAGGGCCACCCCGGCCCTGGTAACGGCCTCTCCCTCCCTCCGGACAGGAGCGAGACGTGCCCGCGCCGTTATCTCGCTGGAGGAGCCTCCTCTGCCAGCCCAGCGCCTGTGCGAGGGGCTTTGAACCCACTTTTTAGAACAGCTCCTCAATCCCGAATCTTGGTGGTTTATCCAGAAGCGGCTCACGGCAGGGAGGGGAGAGCGGGCGCATCCCTCGCCACGTCCCCACCCGTGCGCTCAGGCTCACATCCAGCGGCTCCCGCTTGGGCTCCATCGGCATCTCAGCTCCGCAAAAGGCTCTTCCCACCCGCCGCCGCCTCTGGGTCCTCGGGGAAGGGAAGGGAGCAGGTTGGGAGCCGGCGCCGCGCTGGCTTTGGCTCTGCCCAGCTCTCGCCACCTCCTGCTGCAGCAGTGCCGTGGCGCTGACAAGGCTTCTAAAGGGTTTTTCCCCTTCCATGGGCTAAGCCCAGCTGCGCTTCAGAAACACCCGCGTGAAGGAACCCTCTCAAATCCGTTTCTTTTACTAATTTTTGCTAGATGGAGCCTATTTGGTTTTTTTCTCTGTTTCAAACCTCACAGAGCTCCAGCCCTTTCCCTGAGGAGCAACAGCCTACCTGATATTTATACGGGGGGTTCTGGAACAGTTAAAATATTGCAGCTGATCTGAACCTTTGCGTGGGACAGATCCCAGTTCTCTGTAAATAGCCAAGTCCAGCGAAGACTCGAAGGCAATTTCCTATTTATAGCATTTTTTTTTTTTCTGGTTCAGGTACACCCCCTGGGGAAAGACGGGGAGATAAATAACACAGTATCGCTCCTGTCACTAAGCAAGAGCCACGTAGCTTGACCTTAACATTAAGAACTATTTCAACTTAAACACGTTATCTATTTTATAGCATTTTTTTGTACCAATCTCCTCTGTGGTAGCTGAAGCGTGGTACAGGTAGGCTTACGATCTTAATCAAAGAGGTTAATTCGCTTTATCCAGTACATCAACTGCGCTACACCACACCCCGGAAAGGCTTCGCAGACTCTGGTAGATGTTCCATAGAGCGGAGCTGAAGCCACTCCACCACCCAGCTTGTTTTGACCAAATCTGTCCATTTTGCGAGGTTCGCGTGCGGTTCACACTTTTTGTATACGAAAAGAGTGGAGCATCTCGGATGCGCCGCCTCCGTTGCAGCACCACTTCAGCCGTTTTGTATGCGTCAGTGACACAACCCAATAAACCTCATTTCAAGGAGTCTCAGCTCTTTGTGCATTTCTGGTGCAGAGGCCTTGAGCTTCGGCTTTCCTTCCCCTGTATTCAGCGGTTTTAGAAGCACTCTCCCCTCCAGGAGAGCCACCTACATGGGGTTAGTACCAACCCACGGCCCTTCAGCATCCCAACAAACCTTGCCTGCCCCCAGAAAGGTGGGATCAGTCTTCCCTTCTGCTTTTTTACACAAAGAGGAAGGAGGCCAAGACTCGCCTCCCTGCCCTCAAACAACGCCGGGTTTTACATTTCTCCATCCCACCCAAGGCATCGCAACCCCAGGTAAGGTTAATGTTCAGCAGATAATTAGAGCTTGCAAACAAACTCGTTAGAGGACTGGGTTTATCCTGTAGTTACAAAACAGTCAGGAAGCCAAACAGGTTTTGTTCAGGCATGAAAGTAAGAGACCTGCTCCTAAGCCAAGTTGCCAACGGGTGGAGCAGTTGTGTCTTGGCTAAAGCCAGCTCTGCAGGGAATAAGGGGAGTTCACATCACAAACTATCATCAACTATCATAACTATTGCTCCTCTTCTGAGAAAAGTGAAAAACTTGCCCAGTGTTTAATTCTAGGACACAAGGAGGGTTGTTATTTTTTTTCTTCTCATACTTTATTTAGAGTTAGCCTGCGTTATTCACTAAGTACTTGCACACTTTACACTAGAGTCCAGTAAACCTGCTGTGTGCCCAATGTAGATACCAACAGCCCCCACCCCATTGTTCTTTGGTTAGAAAAAAAAAAAGAAAGGCTTTTAAAAAAACAACTCACCATACAAATAGCAAAAACCACAGCTTAGCTGCACACTAAAACATGTTACAACAGATCTGCCACTGCCCCACACAGGCTGAGAACAGGCACATGGCTTTTTTTTTTTCTTCAAGTAATTTCTTCTACAGAAGAGCTTAACTCAAACTAAACATCCAGCATCGAGTAGACAACTTCAGCGCGAGTCGAACGCAGGCAGCCTGAGCGTTCGTGAGAACGGAACCATGAAGGCCACTGCTTGTGCACCGGGGAGCAGCTCTACCTGCCACGGGACTGCCAACGCCACCCCCCGGGCCCCGGCTCCGGCAGGGCCGGCTTCCTAGAAGAGCTAGCTTAACCCAAGCAGCTTCGCTAGCATGACTAGGCCAGGAGTAGATCTCACACCTTAGCACCACTAATGTGCATACGCTTCAGCTTCCAATAAATATCTGTGACCTCAGAACAGGAAATTCCACTTCCCACACAATAAATAAAAATATTGCATTTTCTATCGGCCTGTTTGGGAGTCAGTTTGGAATGTTGGTTTCAGTGCTCAGGAGTCCCACGTTAAGCACTCAACGCTTCCCGCTCCTTGGGTTTCAAGAGCTTCTTGGCAGCGATGATGGTGTTCTTCATCAGCATGGCCACTGTCATGGGCCCAACTCCCCCCGGCACCGGGGTGATGTAGCTGGCTTTCTTCTTCACCCCTGCGGGAAGGAAAGGCAGAGCTTAGCAAGGCAAGAGCACCCACGCTTACCAGTGGGAAACCACCGCCAGCCTAACATTGCTCAGATTCCGTCAAGATTAAGTGAAGGAAGAGTAACTTTTTCCATTTGCAAGGGCAGAACAGAGGACACTGTGGTCTGTCCATCCTTGATGCTGACTTCAACCACAAAGCTGGGAGAACAGCAAAAATCAAGGTCTAATAGCTGGATTTTTAGCAGAGAAACGTCAAGTCCAAGCCTAGGTGTGGGCTTCACACACGCCCTTGAGGGGACGTACTAACACTGACCATTCCCCCTCTTTCTTCCAGGAGGTTCCAGTGTCTGTCACCAGAGGTGCCGGGCTCGTCACCACAGCGAAGCAGTGAGTAAGGCTGCTGAATCGTGAGCCAAAGGTAGAGTTCTGCATGTTTTTATTTAAAAGCAAAGCAACTAAACTGCTTCAGCTCAGGGTGAGGCCCTGCCTTGCAGCACAGCGTTCCCACTGCAGGTCCCAGGCAGGCTGCAGCTGGTACAACACTGGATGCACCAGGGAGCAGAACCGAAGTGTTGCTCTGCAGGAACAAGGACTTTCTCCTGCCCTTCTCAGCACCTTAAATGTTTAATGCTCAAGGAACCAGATGCAGGGCCTTCCCCTACCTTCAAAATCCACATCCCCAACCAGCCTTGACTTGGCAGTGACAGGATCCTGCACCCGCGTTATCCCCACGTCGATAACCACGGCTCCTTCCTTGATCATGTCGGCTGTGATCAGGTTGGGGATGCCTGCAAGAGAACGGAACCCCACACTCGTGGTGGTGCTCGGCAGCCCCCCTGCTCCCCTCACCCCATCGTCCCGCCACGTTTTGATGCACCTGGGCCTTCCCGCTCCATAAAACAGTTGCACTCAATGATCTTAAGGGTGTTTTCCACAGAATCCTCGGGGCTGGAAAAGCCCCTGCAGCTCCTCCAGCCCAACCACGACCCTCCCCCTGACCCTTCCCAACTCCCCCAGACCCCTCAGCGCTGGCTCAGCCCGACTCTTCAACCCCCCCAGGGATCCCGGGGACTCCCCCCTGCCCTGGGCAGCCCATTCCAACGCCCAACAGCCCCTTCTGCACAGAAATCCTTCCTCAGAGCCAGCCTGACCCTGCCCTGGGCAGCTTGAGGCCATTCCCTCGGGGCCTGGCGCTGGGGCCTTGGCTCCAGAGACTCATCCCCCCTCTCTGCCCCCTCCTGGCAGGGAGTTGCCGAGGGCCAGGAGGTCTCCCCTCAGCCTCCTCTTCTCCAGACTGAACCCCCCAGTTCCCCCAGCCGCTCCCCAGCAGACCTGTGCTCCAGACCCTGCCCCAGCTCCATCGCCCTTCTCTGGCCACGCTCGAGTCACTCAATGGCCTTCTTGGGGTGAGGGACCCAAAACTGAACCCAGGAATCGAGGGGCGACCTCACCAGTGCCGAGCCCAGGGCTCAGATCCCTTCCCTGTCCCTGCTGGCCACACAAATCTACCCACAGTTACACAATCCAGCCCTATTCCTCATGTCCAGCTCCATCAGGAATTTGAGTTTACTGGTAACCTCAGAGTGTAAGGAGCTGGAATCCACCCCCAGGAAGGGGTCTGGTAAAGCAGCTGGGACCAAAGCATCCCCTCCAAGCTGAGACCTCAAAGCTCACATCTGAAGTCTGCAGCTGTGTTTGTTCATGCAGCTCCAGCAACATTTTTGCACCTGCACTAAGTCAGGAAGCTGGAGCAGTGTCCGAAACCACAACCCAGCTTGGCAGAGGCACTGGCTTCACCCGGGGGCTGCAAAAGCTCAGTGTGGAAGGGGTGGGGAGCAGCAGCTTGGGGCAAAGCCACCCTTTCAGGGTGGGGTGTGTTTGTCTGGTTCTGCCAGATACGGTCTGCTGAGCGGAGGAACTCCTTCCACCCTCCCCTTCATGAAGGCTTTCATGCGAGCCTTCCTCCGGTCTGCTGGCCATGGTGGCGATTCACAAGTCTTATCTGCCAGCAGCACTTCTTGCACCAACACCTTCATCTCTAATCCTTCCAGCACCTTGTCTCTTCATACCCCATTCCAAACCACATTTTCTCTCCTCCCTCCCCACAGGCTCACACCCAGACACCCCAAATCAGCTCAACTCCTCTGTTGATGAGCTTCACACCAAGGGCACAGCCAGGAGAAGAGCACATCAGGTGGGACTAGATGATCTTCAAGGTCTTTTCCAACCTAGATGATTCTGTGAGTGATTGCTTGGGCTCTGAAGGTGACACTGCAGCTGTCCCTCAGCATTCTGACTGTCTCTAGGTAGCAGATGCCATCTTGGTATTTTTTTTCTCCTGCCCACACAGATGCAGAACTGTCTGCATGGATACCAGAGCCTGCCTGTAGCTGTTCTCCTGCTCTGAGCAGGTGCTCTCTGGCATACCAAAGCGCTCCTGCCAGATGTTATTTTACATTTCAAAGGCAGAACTACAAACAGCTCTGCCAGTAAGATCCAAGTATGTGGCTCCTAGACTTAACCACAGGATAAACTGCCTGCCTCAAACAGCCCCTCGCCCACAGACAGCCCTGAGAGCACCAGACTCCCCCACACTGCCAGGCAGGGAGGCCCCAGGACATTCCACACTGACGGGATTGTCTCCTGCAAGGATCCCCACCCAGAAACCCCCAGAGCGCCGTGGTGCAGCACCCTCCACATGCCTTGCCCGTGCTATTAAGAGTCACATCTTACCCGCTGCTGCCACCACAATATCAGCACGGATTGTGTGTTGCTTCAGCTGCTCCTTGGGAGTGTAGCGGTGGGATATTGTGACTGTGGCATCGCCTGCAAGAGTAGTTACACGGAGCTTTTTAATTCACATACTACCAAAACCCAGCCGCTTCTCTAAGCCTTCCCCTTCAAGACCACCCACGTATTTACTGGGAACATCAGAGCCTGATGACAAACCCCAGGGAACAGCCTACAGAGCCAGAGAGAGGGAGCTGCTATGGGGGAGGACAAGGACATGCGGAACACAGCTCCAAAAATGTTACAGGACTGACTATGTGCAGAGTCAGCTCCTCAGCCTGGCTCACAGAGTCCCTGCAGCGCTCCCAGGACTGGTTCAGGAGCGGAAAGAAGCCAGTGTGACAGGCAGAGGGTTTCCTCCTGGCACCCAGGCTCCAAGGCCAGGGAGCTCCTACCTCCCGGGCGCTCGTGCCTGCCGTCCGTGTGCAGCAGCATGGCTATGGGCATGCCCACGTTCTTCGACCTGCCAGCCACCACCACGTTCTTCCCCAGTGTTGGGATGCCTGCAGAGCACAAGGTGGAGTCTTAAAACACACACACACGCACACCAGCTGGAGTTATGCCAGACAGAAGCAAAATACTGCAGCAGCATCAACTTACCAGTTCTCTTAATGATCTCCCACACCCCCCAGGGGGTAGCTGGCAGCATGGAGTACTGGTCAAGGCACATGCGTCCCACATTTATCACGTGAAAGCCGTCCACATCTTTGTCTGGAGTCACAGCATTGCAAATCTTGCGCTCATCAATGTGTTCTAGAAGAGAACAAGAAGCTTTAACCTCAGCGATCAGCCGAAAAAAAAAAAACAAACCTGTTTCCCTGCAGTCAGAGCCCTGACCTGCCGCACCAGCCCCTTCAAGAGTTTGGAAGCTTGACGTGACAAGCCTTCCAGCAAGCTCAAGTCTAAGAGCTCCCAGCAGAAGGGGACTGAAACCCCTTCGGGACTGCAGTGTCACTAATGCAGAGAGGGTATTTTTAGGCAGCCTCAGTGTCACAACCAAGTTCAAGCTTCTGGCCCTGGAAGTTGATACTCCCTACACAAGAATAGATTCTGAGACACCCCCCCGGCCACTTAACTCAGAGGCAGCTGCATGATGGAGTAGCTGCAACACCTCTCATTGTCACAGGATAGCCCCTGCACTGCTCCTCCTGGCACATACAAGCCCTTAAAATCTTTATGTAAAAGGGCAACAGATGGAAATCCAGGTACTCACCGGGTAAAGGAAGCTGTACCAACAGGCCATCCACATTGGCATCATTATTGAGTTTGCTGATCAAATCCAGCAGCTCCTCTTCCGTAATCGAAGCCGGCCTGAGGATGGTTTCACTGCTGATTCCTGCATGACCATCAAAAGCCCCACATGAGAGCCAGGTGTGCACAACTGGGAGAGCAACTTCCTTCACCTGTGCAGATTTAAGCTGCCCTGTTCCACAGCTCTGCCAAATCTGATAGGCACCCAGTGTTTGTGTAACAGTGAGCACCTCCCAGGCTGAGACTCTCACAAGTCTTGCAAGTTATGGTTAAGGACCATCAGTGTCAGTCTAATGACCTGGGAAAGACTAGTTGAAATCCGAGACCCTCTGAGTGCAGGGAGGGCTTGGAGACACCTCAGTGTGCTGCAATGAAAATGCACCTGCGTGTCCAGCGGTCCCTCTTGACACAGGAAGAGGGGGCCGTCAGACTAAAAATCTCAGCTCCAAAGTCTTTGGCAGCACAGAACCCAAGGGGAAACTAAATCATTTATTGCCCCAACCCCTTTCAGCACATTTCCTCCAGAAGCCTCCTCGGCTGAACACCAAGCAGGACCTCAGCTTGCGAGACTGGAAGGAGCCAGAGGGTGGCAAGGCTGGTGAACACAGCCTGCATCTCAGGCAGCTGAGGAAAGGCGGCGAATCAACGCCCTGTCTGCGCTTCATATGGCCCCTAGGAAGGCTGAAAATCTAAACCACAGAGCTTGATGCTGCTCCAGAGGATTCAAATGGCACAATACACACATGAACTGTTTATTAACTACATCCCAGGACAACAATGAAGGCAGCCAAGAGCCACAGCAAACCCGGAGGCAGATGTGGCCTGTGTGCCATGCAGCTGCAGGGAAAAGCTGCCAGGCAGACACACACCAGAAAGCTTCCCCCAGCCTCCTGCGTAGAGGACTCCACATAAAGTGAGATAAGTCACTTTATCGGCTTTTTTTTTCCAGAAGACATACCGACATCAGCCGCCGCTTTGGTTTTGTTCAGTACGTAGGAGTGACTCGCTGGATTTTCACCGACAAGAACAACGCTGAGGTGAGGTCTCTTGTTTCCAGCCGCTACCCACTGCTCAACCTCGTGACGGGCTTCCTGTCTGATCTGCCGGGCCAGCTTCCTTCCAGAAATCACAACTGCATCATTTCTGCAACAGAGAAAGAGTTACTGAAGCAGTCAGCATCGTTAGGACCCTCAAATCCAAGCTCTGCACAACACAGGCTGGGAAAATCAGATGCCAAGCGCAAGTCAGGGCAGAAAAGGCTTTTACTCGAGCTCTGTAGAGGCCTATTGCACCTTTATGCCAAATCATGTGAAGCAGCATATTTCGGTCTTAATTTAACAGCTTTGCTGCCCAAAGCTGGGATCAGCAAACAACACTGCCAGAGGGACCAACTTATTTGAGCAGCCTGAGAAAACCAAGGCACCGTTCCCTGCAAGGCCGGGCGTCCACGTGGGCCATTCACCTGGCGCACGGTTGAAACCAAGATACTATTGGTTCCCTTTTCAGAAAGCCAGTGCCCCGTTCCTCACGAGGGCACGACAGCTTCACTTACAAAGGACTTGCACAAAGCAGAACTCGCTCCACTTAAGCGGAGCTTCCACCGCTAGAGGTCCATTGAGTAATTCTGGCTCGCTGGACGTGGGAGGCAGTGTGCGCTTCTGCATCAGTGCTGCTCCCAGGGATCCTCGTCCCCCACAAATCCCTCGTTGAGACCATCAGCCCGTCTAGCACAGCAAGCACCTTGCTCAAGGCAGTGCCATGCCCTGCTCAAGTAACTGCTGCCACCGCTCCGTTGTGTCCTCAGGCTGTTAACGGGGTAAGTGGTTTCACCCCCTGACAGACCCTGGCATCTAGCTGGAGTAGGAGGGACATTTGCCCATTTGAATCACTTCAAAACAGCTCCTCGCATGCACTTCTGGTCTAAATTGGTAACGGGAATATCCAGTCACTGCCAAATACATTCCAGGCAACTGGACACCCTGCAGTACATGGATGGCTCGACCTACAGCTGGGCTGGGAGGCCACGGCTGCCAGCCCCCACTCAACAGGCTGCCCACAGCGCTCACGCTTGGGTTTTTTCCTCAGGTTATCACTGTAACGCCCATTTGAACATCATTCTCATTCACTAGCCCCTTTGTGAGAGGATCCACTTTCCCAGGCTTCACTTCTAGGCTTCACTACAGCCTTTAAGTCCTGCCTGGCTGCAAGGCCTCACAACAAGCACCTAGTAAGGTCCCAGCTGTTCCAACCTCTGAGCTGGAGCAAAGTCGCTCCCCACAGCGTTACTGTCATTTCTGGTGCCTTCCCAAATTGCAAGGGCCAGCCCATTTCCGAAGGGATCACCAAGCAATATGTGTCACAGCCCCACAAGCTACTCGACTTGCTACAGGACTCCAGGAGACAACTGACCCGCAGGAAAAACCAGGCACCATTCCCAACCCCTCCTGCACCACCTCATCCCAGAGCAACGAGCTGAATTGCTGCAGCTTGCCCTCAAAAAAAATCCATCAGCTGCCTGGCATACAAACTCTCTCCTACCAGGATCCCACAGTAAATCCAACACCACTGTTTTCTGACCTTCTCTAGGTACAATCCTGAGCTCTGGGACAGCTGCCACTGGGGAAAACCACCACGAGAGCTGCTCCAGACCCACACCTGCGCAGGAGAGCCACGAGGTGCCATCCCAGGTAAGAAATCCTTTTGTCTAAATACTTATTAGAGGTGCAGAGGATCCTTTGTGCTTTCTCAATCCCTGCCCTACTCAACTATGCAGTTTTCCCCATTTACTGGGAATTAAATGTTACTTCATCCCTAACAGCAATCATCCCAGTCAAACCTATTTAACAATAACAAGTAAAAACCCATCCCTGACCAGCTCAGCCCACAGGCTCTCTAATTCTTGTTTTAGTTTCAGAGCTAAACCTGTACGAAACTACTGTACACCTAATTAGGAATTATTACAAGTACCTGGCAAGCTAAAGAATTCACTAAGTCAGAGACGCCTCATACCTACCCAAATCTTCTCCTTACATAAACCTGAGGCTGGGGTGCCCAGCCTGGGCTCCCAAAGGATGGGGACAGCCACAGGCAGCCCCACCGCGAGCTGCAGGGAAGACTAAGAGCTCAGAGCCCTGCTTAGAGCAGGGAACAGCCGTGAAACCCGAGCACCCGAGAAGCAGCAGCTCCCTCAAGGCTGCTTCGGTGCGTTAGAGCAAAATCCACGGAAGGTGGGGTAGCAATAGGAGAGAGGCACTTGATGCACGACCTAAGCCGCAGGGGGGGGGATGCTCGGGGGCCTCCGGTCCCTCTCACACCGCTTAAACCCGGGGTCAGCCTAGGCCTGGTCCCCGAGAGGTGCCCCTGGGGGTGCGGAGGGGACCCGGTGTCCCCCTGCCCGGGGAGGTGGTGGTGGGGGGAAGCCCGGCACACACCACGCAAGGCGGGAGCGGGATTTCATCAGCCTGCACCGCCCGGGGCGGCCGCTGGGGGCCCGCCTCATTCATTCCGGTACCAGCAGCGGCGAGCCGGGCCTGTACCCCGGCCCGGGGGGCGAGGGGGTGACCTGACC